TGAAATTTGCCACCACTCAAAACTTAACTGGAAGGGGTCAGTTTCAATTCTACAAAACATACCACCACCATCACTACTATTATTAAATAATAGTATCTTATTATGTAAGCATACTCTATATTTTAATTACTTTTTTCCCTAACTCACCACCTCCCTATCATACTCAAATATTTCTATAAAATTTCATATGAAATAACTATATGAAAACAGGGATTTTTTTTTAAAGCACAAACAGTGCCTAATTGGTAATGAATTATGTCTGCATTACAAATGCAGATGGAATCAGTGAGATTCTCTGCAGGACAAAGATGAGTAATGTCCTCCCATGCTATAGATAGTCTTTTAAAACTTTCTGGATAATTAGCTATGACTTGGTATCAACTTAACGGCAAAGAAGAATTCTGAATTCTGTTCTTCTTGTTATGTGTCATCATGTCAAGTGTACAACTGACAGTGACTCTATGAAGAGCAGATCTGAATCCTGTCCTATCTTGTGCTATCTTCAACACCTCTCACATACTTGAGCCCACTGCTACAGTCACTGTATCAATTCATCTTGTTTAGGGTCTTCCTCTCCTTCACTGGTCCTCCATCTTTGCAAGCATGATTTCCATACCTGTCCTAACAACATGCCCAAAGAATATTGCATGAAGTTTAGCCATCCTTGGCTATAAGGAACACTCTGGCCACAATATATCTAAGACCTATCTGTTTATTCTTTTGGCAGTCCAGGAGCTATTTAGTACTCTTCTCCAACAGCACAACATAAAGACATCAATTCTTCTACTGTCATCCTTATTAAATGTCCAGCTCTCAAGTAATTGGAAAGATCAAGATCACAGCTTAGCAAGATGAGGCATATCTTTATCTGACATTATTGCTCTTCAGGACTTTCAAGAGGTCCCCCACATCATGTTTTCCAATGTTACATACTTCCCAATCTCCTTACTAGTGGTGTCTATGGTGTTGAGTGTGGATCCAAGTAAAATGAACACATACACAATTTCTATCTCTTCATCTATCATGATGTTGTTAATAGCCCAGTTGTGAGGATTTTTGTTGGTGGTTTGTTGTTTTGTTTTTTTTTACACTGAGATGTAATCCACATTGGAGTGAGCTCTGGTGGTTTATAGTAGCTGGTGGATTTAAACCACATGCCTTTTTGGGTTAGCACCTTTACTATTACCACTAATTTACACTCAGCAAGTTCTGTGAATAACATTAAAAATTATTACTCACTTGACATATCTGATGAGGCTGATGAACAGGAAAAGTTGCTGAAGCACCCTGAAGCTCAACGTTCATCTCCTGTTTCTCTAGCCTGCCACACCCCATTAATTAACTACCTCTAATTTTCCCAGAATTCTCTGTTGGGCTCAATTCTGATTCCTTCCTAAGAGTTTTGACCTGAACCATTAAAATTTCATGCTTAAAAGTCATTCTGAGGTATTAATTCCACATTTTACTTCAGTTTCTAAAAATAAATTTTGTCACTTCCAGCCCTATGAGATCAGCTGGAGTAAGCTCATCTCTCATTTAACTTAGTAGGGCCTCGAGAAGCACTGGGAATGGTTATACAAAATTTATTCAATCTTATGGCAATTCATGTACAGACTAGTTCTGTTCTGATTTCAAAGCATCTCTGGTCTCAAACTGCCAATCTTTTGGCATGCAGTTGATCACTTAACTGTTTTTCCACACCACATTCATACAAAAAGTGTGTGACTTCCTACTAGGAAATGCTTTGAGTGTACTTACGTTTCCCTCAAAAAACCAGACTATCAAGTAGATTCTGACTAATACCAATCCTATGGCAAACCTAGAGAGCAGAGTAGAAATGCCTCATGTTGGGATTCCAAGGCTGTACTTTTTACAGAGAGACTGATACATCTTTGTTCCAAGGAGTAACTAGTTAAAATGCTGACTGACATTTATGTTCACAGATGAGTGCTTAACCATTGTGCCATTAGAGATCTTTGTATACTGTGTGATGTTAGGATACGTATTTTTTTAAAGCTTCCCAGAGAATTACAGGTCTACTTTTGGTAAAGGAAGCTCTGCTCATGCAGTCTGTAACAAGTGGCACTGCCAATCCTACAACTGTGATTCAGATCCAACAATGGTTCCCAGAGAGAAAGATGAGGCACTCATGACTTACAGCCCTGGAAACTCAACGGATGATCACAAAGAATTGGAACCAAGTTAATGGCAGTGAGTGAGTTAAGTATGGGAAAGTACCAGAGTAATATATTAAATAAAAACTTTCTTGGAAAAGAAGTGAAAACATGAACATTTTTCATATTACAGCAAAAATAACTTGCAAAGTTAACATTACTAAAAGGAACTGGTAAAAACTAAATTTTTATTTACTTTTTGCTATTTATTTAGGGATCTCTGATGAAGGAGGGAATTAAGCTACTAACTGAAAGAGGTCAGTTTGAATCCACTGCTCTCTCCTCCGATTAGCCTCTGAAAACCTGCTGGAAAGTCAGCTATGAGTATGTTCTGCCTTGACAGTCGTGATTAGAGTTCTTTTTACCAGTCTGTTGCTATCAAATAATTACCTACGTAAGGAATAATACTGTGGTATGATTGTTGTTAGTAGCCTTTGAGTCAATTCTAATTCATGACACTCCTATGTATAAAGAGTAAAATTGTTTCCATTGTGTTTTTCAAGGGTATGAACTTACACAAGCAGATCACAATGTCTATCTGCAAAGGTATTTATAGATGAATTCAAACTAAACTTTTTATACAGAAATTGAGCACTTAATTTTTGTAACAGCCAGAGAATCCCTCTGGTATGACGAAGCGCTATAATGTACAAGAACAGGTAAAATTTCCATTTTAGCTACCATAATATCAATGTTGATCCACAATCAACACTAGAGTAGTGAAGAAGACTTGAAGTACTTACTGAAACAAAACAAAAACTACAGCCTCAATAAGACTACAGTGCAACATCAAGAACACAAAAATTCTCACAGTTGGGTCAATACACAGTATCATGATAAAACAAAAAAATGGTTGAAATTGCTGATGATATTTTACATGTGTCCACAATCAATCAACATTATGGTTTTAACAGTCATGAAATAAAAAGATGCACCACATTGGACAAATTTTCTCTCAAAGATGTTTGTAAAGGACTGAAGAGTGAGGATTTTAGTTTAAGGACTAAGGTGGAGTGTCTAACCCAAGCCATGGTATTTTCAATTGTTTCTTATGCACCAAAATTTGGACAATAAATAAAGAAGACCAAGAGGAATTGATCCCTTTCAATTTTGGTACTAGAGAAGAGTACTGAGTATCTCACGAGCTTCCAAAATAAATAAATCTGCCTTGGAGAAAGCACAATCAAGGTACTCACTGGAGGAAAGGATCCTGAGTTTCGTCTCACATACTTTGGGTATAGTGTCTAAAGGGACTAATCTTTAGATAAAGACATTATACTAGGAGAAACACAGAGTCACCAAAGAGAGAAAGACCCTTCCACAAGATGAACTGACATGCTGACTACAAAAATAGCTCAAGCATAGTGGTGATCATGAGGATGGAATAAAATAGGGCATGGTTTAGATTTAGTTCACAGACTTATGAGTCATAGTTGACTTGATGGCACCCAGCATCAAAAAAAGAAGACATGCATGAAAATTCAGTCTATTACACTACACAGAAGCATGATTCTCAATGCCAAGAGTGGGAGCAGGAAGAAAGAAAGAATTTTATCCTTCTAAGGTTATTAATCTTGGTTTTGATTATTTTTATTATCTTACATTTCAAAAGCCAAACTGTCCAGTTATCTTATTATTAAAAATCGTAAATAAAACATAGACTCTGCTTTTCCTTATTACACTGGATGCCCTCAATATTTAAGTTTTTTAAAATGCATTAAGGCTGCAGATAGGATTTAAGGCAGATAATCCCACAGCTCAAATCTGATAAAATAGTGAATGTAAGGAAAATAAAACTGGAAATTATTCCTCTGCCTCAAAGGAGAAAATACAGAGGTGGAGTTGAAAATACTTCTTCCATATAGTTCTACAAATCAGGTCTCTTGTGATTAGTTATGCTCCTAAGAAAAAGTTAAGTGTTTTTTTTGTCATCATTACCATAAAAAGTTTGTTAAGATAATTACATAGTTCATAAGTGGAAAAGATGGAAGATATGATGAGTTTTAGTTTCTAGTGTACATATTAAGTTTTACATTGCAGCAGAATCTTTCGGATCTCCAAGAAAGAAAATTCAAAGCCTTTGTTTCTTCACTGGAGAGACGGCTAGATGAAACAGGAGGACTCCCTCAAGAAAGAGAAAGTTCTGTATTTATTCTTTAAAACAAAGCAGAGGGAAATGAAGTTAAAGAAATCAAGGGAATGGCTTGCTTTCATGCGAACAGATGTGAGTATACCTACTCTAAGTTACTAGTTTGGTAATGTGGTCTCAGTATGAATTTTCAATGTCTCTGTTCTTTTAATTATAAAGGCATATTAGAGAAAATCTCACCTAATATGCGTTATGATTACTTACTGATGAAATACTATTTACTTTTTACCTCTCAAGTTGACTTTTCCTAATTTTTTAGAGATTTTTTCAGAATTAAAGAGATTACATGAAGTTTATAATTTAATAGATTACATGAGGAAAAAAATCTTATAAATGATGTCAAATCATGATGGATAGACAAACCAAGAAAAGTAGTAATTTGGATTAATATTTTTAAAGCATAAGACTTGATTTTTTTATTCATTGTGCATAAAATACAATATATAGCACATACCAAATAGCAACATCTAGGTAGATGTATCATCAAAATAAAATTGTACTAGTCACGAACAGGGATGCTCCACTATGCTGAACACGTGGTAGGTGCTCAAAATAATATAAATGAATTAAAAGTCACTTAGCAAACGAGTTATCTAATTTAAGTTATCCCTTTTATCAAGCATTGTTTATTCTATTAGTTACAAATTAAAACATTTACATTAGTATAAAAATATTACCTGTAAGGATAGCCGTGGTACTTGGAACGAAATATTGAAAGCAGAAAACTGAAGAAGAAGACCACCAAGCCTAATCCCACTAGGCAGATGACTAGAAAAAGACAATACTGTTAATGTCCAGGAACTAAAACTGACAACTCAAATGTTTATGTTTTTAAAGCACATTCACTTCATTACAATATACTTACATTCAACAGTTCATGGCAAATAGTGGTATGACAAACCAGATAATCCAAAATACAATATATTCATTATTTTCCAAACTCTTCTTAATGAAAAAGACGTAGCGTATAAAAACAACAAAATTGACTAATCTATTGTTCCGTACATTTCTTCTCTTATAAAATTCTATGAATTCTAAAATATAGCTCTGAAGAAACAAAACATATGATAAACCATAAACAAGACCACCAGCACCTGCAAGATGATATAGTGGTATCAGTAGAAACATCTAGGTGATGAGAATGCTAAACAGAATCTTGTATTTTTTTTGGAAGCCATACAAAATTTATAAAGAAATGTATTTTCAAATTATGAATTACAATTTCTTAGGAAAAACACATTATTTAGAAATACTTCAACCTACAGTACAAAAGGCTATAAACAAAAGAATGAAGACTGAGGGGTTTCATAAGCCAAAGGAGAGAAATATTCAGATAACAGATAACTGTATTAATAGTTCTGTCGTTCTAATGTATATTTTTGACTTCCAAACAGGACACGTTAGAATAGGATGAGCCATGGCCTAGGTTTTACTATTACCCTGTACAAGACAAGATGACAATACAAAAGCTATTAATTATATTTTCTTAAACTACACTTAGGAAAATTTTCTTCTAAACTAGGTGAGTTGTGAAATATTTTGAGGGTTTTTTGTTTATATTTATAGTAGATTTTTTCAAATAAGATTTTTGTGAATATAATTAAATGTAAACATCTTCATAAAATTTAAATACTTGAAAACACCAGGTAACTAAATGCAGGCATGTTGAGATTAAGATAAAAAAGAATTCTATTTATGAAAGAGGGATCTGTTTTATAAGTAGAAATTAACTAACATTATCACTTAGAGATATATAGCTATATTTAAAGAATAAAACATTTATGTTCATTTCTATTTGTTTAAGGAATTTAAAACAAATTTGAAAGAAATCTGAACATTTTATTTTGATTATAAGATAATGAAGGAAAAAACAGAAAACACTAAGAGAAGAAACAAGGAAAGTAAAATTCTCTTATATGTTTCCATGATAGTGAAATATAAATTTTAAAATGTTCTCCTATCATATAAATAAAGTCAGGCTGAATTATATTCTTGGAAAGAAGGGAGTAGAAAAGGTATAATATTGCCAAAATATGTCTAGATACTGTCAGTTTTCATTTCACCTCTGTAGGAATATCAATCTCTGTTTTGAGTACAAATTGTGAAAAATCATAAGCCTTTATTAGCATTAGGTTAAAGCTTCTGTGACATTTCGAGGAACATTCATACAGTTGCAGTGCAAATAAATATTGGCAGAAGGTAAAGCAAAAGAGGAAAATCAAACAAAACAGGTTGTTAAGTATCATAAAATAAAAAACACTCTTCACTGCAAAATGTCCAAGTCACTAGATAAAACACCTAAATATCACTTAAGTGTTAAGGCTTACAACTATAATTAACTCATTAACAATCTTATTAACCCTAGAATTAAACAGTTATGTGTACAATCTAGATCTGGCACTTTAGTAAATACTGTTCCCTTTTCCTTTTACAAAGTTTTCTTTTCAAATGAGGAACAGACTACTGCTCATTATACCACATTTGGCACAACAAAGTCCTCACTAGTTATTGAACAGGAAATTATGTTTAAAATGTGGTCATGTAAAACAATGTTTTTATTTGATTCTATAAACAATATATTTATTTGATTCTGTGTAGTGTAACAAAATAATGCAACATAAGGGGAAGGCAGAAGGATAGAACAAGTAGTGAGGGATTAGCAATCAATAAATGGACCCCAGCAGCCCATATAACATACTTGTTAACAGGAAAATGTATATGGCATAGAAGCACTCTGATCTGAGTAATAATTACGATTGTTGCTGCTGTTGAGAAAAATCGTGTCTGAACTAATTTACTGTTGACTCTACAGTAGGTTTTCTGTGGCAGTTAATCACAAGGAAGGAGATGTCCATCTCGTTCCCATGGAGCATCTGGTGGATTTGAATCATATGGTAGTTGTATGAGAATTTAAAAATAAAAATCATATTAGAGGCAAAAAAGAAAAGGGTAAGTTTTATATTAACTGCTTCTACGTGTGTGGGTATGTATGCTTTTATTTGGAGAAAACGGGATGAGTAGGAATCTGTTTCATAAATTTACATGTGTATATTTTAAAATAGGAAAATACAGAAAATTATGGTAATTGTAAGTAATGATTTTATATACTAAATTTTATAGATATTCTGGGATTAAAATACTACATAGCTCTTACTATCATTTAACTTAATATGATTAACATATTATCCTTATGAGTTTATATTATAAGCATGATTTTAAGTTTAAAATACCACTGTTTATACAATGGATATATGATAAAGAACAGAGAGTATTTCATAATGGATAAAGGATATTTCAAAACATTTGAAAATGCTTAACTAAGAGTAATGCAGTTATTTCTTCTATAGTTGCTCTATAATTGTGTACTCCTACCATCACGAGAAAAGAGGGCAGATTAAGTTGTATACCATATTAAAAATATGTTAACACCTAAGACATTTATAAATTTACAAATCACTAAGATTAATTAAAAAGATCACCCCATACTGGGGTAAAAAATCATAAATAATTCCGAGTATTTACATTAAATATCTTAATAAATTATTAAGTCTGTGTTAAGTACAACCATAAAATCATATTGGGGCTTGAGATTAATTATACGTCTCTAGCAGGAAAAAATTCAAGGCTCTCCTTCAAACACTAACTTATGTTCCTTAAGTCAGAATTTTTCCCCTTATTGTCCCTTTTTCTTGTCCAAACTTGTTTCTTTCCACCCCCTCAACAATTTCACAGAGGAAATAGTCCCATCAAAGTCTAAAACATAATTAATCTGCTTAAAAGTTTGAAGAAGTTCCCCTTGATGGAGCTGCAAATCTTAAAATATTCATGGAAAAGATGTTAATAACATTCTCACTTTTACTGTTGATAAAAGTGATTTTGAAGAAAAGTGGAAAAGTATTTTACTATTCCAGTGTGTAACACCTGTGTTATGCTTTGAATCCATATATGCTTTTTAAGTAATGAGAACACATATTGATATTGTTTAAAAAAACCTCTGAAGGCTCAGCCCACAAATCTTATTATTCTTCTGGTTGTAAAAATGATAAGCTGAATTAGTCCATATACAGAGTGAATGGTAGTCCCCTTTATTTGCAAGTCTACAGAAAAATCACTTTATCTCATTTTGAAAGGAAAAGTGGTTTTAAAGCATGCACACACATATCCAGAAAAGAAGAAAAAACCAAGCAAACAAAACTGTCTTCACTTTCTTAAAAGAGCCTTTAAACTTTGTCTGCAAACCATTTCTCATTTGAAAACTAACAATATATCATAAAAACGTCAGCACAGTAACTTACTCCTTCTTTTTCCAACATCCCCTTTGGAAGTTGCAGCTTCATTTAGGAGAACCATTCCCATGGTGATGGCAGCATCTACAACTCTTGTCAAGGAAAGAGTAGACAAAGACGTAGTAGAAAAAGTAATCTTTTAAGATTTTTGAATGTTAATACACAGAGCATCAGTGTCTCCTGTGCACTACTTGTAAAAGGGAAAGCTCGAAGACTAGCATGTGGCTATATGGGTGTACTTTAGCAGAGGGGTTTGGAGAGAATAGGTATTACTAGTCATAATTTGTTTCTGTGACCTTATTATGCAGTAACTTAAAGTTTTCCATTTGGGCATTCATGTTTACGCTGACTTATTTAATTGTGTTGTTGTTGTTTAATGCCGTCGAGTCATAGACGACTCATAGTGACCCTATGAACGAACAGCCTGAGCACTGTTCATACATAGAGTTTCCGGAGGCAAGTCATTTTGGAAGTGGATGCCGCTCCTGCTTCCAGATTGGATGCTTTAAAAAACTATTCTATTTAATATATGGTATTGTCTTTCTGGAAAAACAAAATAAAACATAACAAACTTCATTACTGTATGTAAGAGACAAAGCCCAGGTCAGCCAGTTCTAGACAACTCCTTTCTTTAATTTAGGTGCTTAATGAATTACTTCCACTTCAATCACGTACGAAGCACCTAGAAAGAATTAAGTTCTGAGGTATTAGTATGATGATCTCAATTCACTATTTTTAACTTGAACGTGCTTTAGACAATATATATGTAGGGTCTTTTTAGTTTTTGTTTTTACTACTTTGTGTGTGTGTTTGTGTGTGTACCTTCAAATTGGATCTGACTGGTACAGGAGGAGATTGCCCCTCCTTCTCCAGCAGAGCATCTGGTGGATTTGAACTGTGTACCTCCAGGATTGCAGTGCAGCTTCTTGTCACTAGGCCACCAGAGCTCCCATGGACAATATATGTGTATAAATTCTCTGGAGTCCACAATTATAGGATATAGAGAGAAAAGTACAGAAAAATAATGAAACTTATGAAATAATGAAAAACTCAAGCTGTTTACTTGTATAAAATTACTTACTACCAACTTCTAGGTTAGTTCTTTGGAGCAACTGATGTGAATCCTAAGAGTTAAATTCTATTTCTTTTTACCCTTAGAAACCCTGGAGGTGCATAGGACAAGTGTTGGGCTGCTAAGCAAAAGATCAGGAGTTCAAATCCAGCAACCACTCTACAGGAAAAAGGTGAGACATTGCTTCCAAAGAATCACAGCTTTGGAAATCCTTTCGGGCCTGTTTCATAGGGTCACCAGGAGTCAGATGGCTTGACAGCAATGAGTAGAGTTGGTTTACATTTAAACTTCCCCTGCCATTAACAATTTCTATTCATGTACAAAATACAGTTTATACATTTACAAGCATATGTGTATCAGATGAGAAAACGAATTCACTCTTACTGAGCTGATCTGAACTCATGGCGACCGTGCTGGGTTTCTATTTCAGAAATAGTATAGAAATCTTTATGAGATGAGAGTATTCACATTTCTCCTGCAGGCGAGTTGATGAATATGAACCATCAATATTTTGGTTAGCAGCCCAACACATAATGTCATGCATGAGGGCTCTTTGTATATATACTATATAGGTTTGTTGTTCTTTTAAATTTTTGCCTATATTTCTTCTAATCAGGGTATTTATCTGCCCTCGAACTCTAATGACTTATAAAATATCTTGATTCTTTTTCTAGATATGAATTTATATAAAGAAAAAGAATCACTGCCTTTGAGCTCAGAGGTTAGAAGAAAGTACTGAATATCCCATAAACTGCCCAAAGAGCAAACAAAAGAGTATGCAGGCTGTTTTTGTAAATAAACAGAATTTGACTATTCAACTTTGCCTTGCAGTGCTAAAGAAGTCATGTAGAATTTTTATTTTAAAAAAGACTATCTTTGCTTCAATAGAACATTAACAAAAATTAGACACTGGTCAAATGTGACATTCACCAGGCACAGTCCAAGTGAATTCAATTAGTCCTTAAGATGAATTTGTCTCCCTCACCACCAAAAGCAAAACAAAATTCCCAACCCCCCCAATATACTCCCATATTGACAGCAATTTAGCTTTATTCTTAATTTAAAATATATCATTTAGCAAATATTTGTGCATACAAACCAAAGTAGGCATTTTTAAGGCCTTCTATTTGAAAGGAACCTCTAGAAGCATAGTAATTTGGTAAACAAAATTAACTCTTTGCCATTGAACTGACTCACAGTTCAAACTCCAGCCTGTTTTCAGAGGCTGTAAATCACAGGAGATGACTGCCCGTTTATACCCCTTTTAGTCACAGATGGATTCAAACACTCTGCCTATAGGTTGGCAGGACAGCTTCCTCTTCAAGAAGCAACCAGAGCTTCCTAATTCTAAGGCAGGCTATGTATTATTAGAAAACAATAGTCATTGAAACGTGTATCCAGTTCTTATAAGATTTCTCAAGTTTTCTAGGTTTTAAGAAATTGAGAGACTGGACAATAAATCTTGTGGGTATTAGGATAAAACTGAACTGAGAATATCTTTAATAGAAGGCCCTTCAGAAATGAAAATCCCTTAGTTATATCAATTAACACATATTTTGTTAAAAAAACCCACACCATTATTTATTTGTAACAAGAAATCTTGGGACTTTGGTTGAAGGTGAAGCTTAACAAACACATGGGAATGCATGCATAGTGCTGACTAATGAAAGCCACTGTGAGTCTGAGAGAGAAGCTAACTCTGGATTAACAGTTGCGGTGCTGTTAAGCTGAATAAACTTTCAGCTCGACCTTATGAAAGCACTGTAATACTGAAAAATTACAAAGTAATTAGGTGATGAGTAAAGTATGTTTCCAAGAAAAAGATCCTGAGCAATCCATAGAGATTAATAATGTCTACTTCTAAAATTTAGTCGCTTTCACAGTTATCAGGCATATTAGAGTTGATGAATATCACTGCCAAATATTTTTCAACTACTGTGCACACTCCACAGTTTCTTTGCTGATCCTGTCAATCACTTTTCTAGTGCTTAAAAAGAAGCAAAGATATTGACATGGTCTCACATAAAACAAAAGCAGTTATCTGCGTAAATTACATACAATACCCTGAGGCATTGATTATCCTGCTGAACTACTGACAAAAACATTACATTATAATCCAATCTCAATTGTGCATGATGATGAGTTTACTGTTGCTCCTGGGAAGGAAGTCAGAATTTTGTCAATTTAAAGATAAATAAGAACAGATGTGGGGAAAAAAGTTAGCACATTAATAGGAGATCTAAAGGGATCCAAATCGAAAATTATTTTCAACTTGCAGCCATCATTAATTCTCTATCATGTTTCTTTTTTGATACAACACATAAAGGAAATATTTGCTCTCTATCACAGTTTGCAAACAAGTGCTGAATAAAGTCATATTCTTTTGTCAATAAATGAAAAAATGCATTTTATAGGAAATGCAAATATCAGCTTTATAAGCATAAAAGATAGTAGTAGTAGTAGTAGTATTGTTAGTGTTGTTATAACTTGTGCTGCTTTACTAACACTTTTACTTCCAAGTGGTATTTATCTCATTTCATCATCTGGATATTTTAAAACTTAAAAGAGGTTATGTTAGAGCTTACAAGGTCATAGTTGATTGTAAAACCAATCCTGTAACTCTCATGTTCTATATTCACTTGCAGATTGCATTTTGGTCAGAGAAAAGAATTCCTGTCTTTCATCAAAGGACACCAACTAGAATTTGATATGTTTGAAATATTATTAAATAAAGGTTCAGATTGTTTTAGACTACTCCCTCCACTCCCATGACTTACTGGAAGAAATAATTAGAGATTGTGGTTTTTGCTACATGATCCCAAGTCAGAATCAACCTGGAGGTGATCCAGCAGTGGGTTTCAGAAACTGCCCCTCTTTATCCTGAGGAGGGGCTGGTGGGTTCAAAATGCTTGCCTTTTGGATTGGTAGTACAATTCCCTACCCATTTGGTCATCAGAGCTCCCAAATGACAGAATAGTTAAGATTTAATACACACACACACACACACACACAGACACACACACACTCTCTCTCTCTCTCTTTTATAAACATTTCTCTAAAAGCAAGGTGATTTAAAAACAAACAAACAAAAGACCAACCAAAAACTCAAACAAAAAAACACTCCCCCCTCCCCCCAACAAGTGCCTTCAAATAACCATTTCTCTGTGCCACAGGGATCTCTGGAGGCCAAGTGGTAACAAGTTGTATCAGTAACCTAATCCACCAACTGTTCCTTGGGAGGAAGATGGGTAGTTTTCTCCCAAGCAGTTAATTGTCTCTGAAAATCCACTGGGGCATTTTCTATGGGTTAGTTCTGACTTGACAGTACACAAGAACGTAACTGGAATTTCTTCCACCTTTCCCAGAATGATGTCTTTTTCTAGGAATTGGCCTTTCTTGACAATAAGAAAAAAAATTTTAATAAAATGGATTGATATAATGACTAACAATGGTCTCAAACACGCCAGAGATTGTAAGGATGGCAAAGGACAGGACAAATTTAAGATCTTTTGTTCACAGGGATTGCTATGAGTTATAGTCTATTTGATGGTATGAAACAATATACTTGGGATAGGCTCAATAAAGAGTTTTTTTAAAAAAATTTAGTCCCTGTACAGCACTAGCATCTTTAATATGTCATATATGAATATACAAAAGACATTACATCTATACTTTATAAAATATATCTACATTTAAGATATAACTATTACATATAGTTATATCAAGTGTTCTGAGATTCCCATTTTCCTCAAGGCTAGCCACAACTTGTTGTGATCCACACAGTCAAATGCCTTTGCAAAGTCAATGAAACAAAGACATTCTGCTTTCTTTCAAGATCCATCTGACCTTGGCAATAATGTCTCTAGTGCCACAATCTCTTCTAAACCCAGCTTGTATTTCTGGAAGTTCTCTGTCCATGTACTTTTTCAGTCGTTTCGGGATGATCTTCAGCAGAATTCTGCTAGTGTGTGATATTAGTGATGTTGTTGTTGTTATGTGCCATCAAGTCACTTGCGACTCACAGCAACCCTATGTACAACAGCCCTAAACTCTGCTCTGTCCTGTGCCAATCCCAATGCCTCTGACACACCCATCCCGATTACCCCAGTCACTGAATTAATCCACCTCATAAAGGGTCTTCCCGTCCTGAGCCGTCCCTCCACCCTCCCAAGCATGATGTCCCTCTCCAAGGACCTCTCCCTCCTTACAACATGTCCAAAGTATGTCAGATGAAGCCCTAAAATTTCCACACTCTGTCGGGTCACCACTTTTGGGAATAGGAATAAATATAGATCTCTTCCAGTCAGCTGACCAAGTAGTTGTCCTTCAGGTTTCTTGGCACAACAGGGTGAAGTCATCCAGGGCTACATCTGTTTGTTGAAATATGTCAACTGAAACATCAACTCCTGGGGCTTTATTTTTTGCTAAGTCCTTCAAAGCAGCCTGAACATCCTCCTTTCATTACCACTGCCTCTTGATCTTATGTTGCTTCTTGAAATTCTTCTGTGCCAGCCAATTCTTTTTTTTGGAATTATTTTTAGCTTATATTACTCATTAGAAAAATGTGTTAGGATTTCAAGTCCCTAACTCTTCAACAGATTGGCTTTATGATCTGAATCAGCCTGAACTGCTCTTTCTTAACAAATATGAAGCCCATATACTTTGTAAAAATTTTTTGGTTGTACTTTTCCCCCAAACTTTGCTTTCCTCATGTAGTTCTTCATTTTAGTAATATGAGGCTTTATCTTCCTGCATATGTGCACTTCAAAGTTGTTATGATTCCTCGTTTTTGAATGTTGTTCATGACACCTACTGTAAAGTTTTGGCAATTTCCCCCACTTTACATATATACCAAAGCATTCCACCCATGTAGGCTCATCCTCTGTTGCAAGAAAAATAGCAGATTGTCTTTCAATTTCTCTGTTCTTGTACCTCTATCTTATCACTGAAAAAATCTCATCAGAACAAACCTCTGTCAGCTTAAAGAGGCGAAACATATATGATCATTTTTCTTTTTACAGCCAGATTTATTAAGGCACTGAGGGCTCAATCTCTGAATCCCTCATAAAGTTCTTACAAGACAGCCAATTAGAACTGGCTTATCAATTACAATCCATGTAAATCTGATTACAAAATAAAGCTCAAATTTTTAGCAAGTTACGGAAAAATTTTCATTATGAAGTCTAAACAACCTCCCTTTCTCCTATTCTTTATGATGCTATTATGTACTTCTCCAAAAAAGAATAATCACTCTCATTATTTGTTTTTTTATCTGCTAAAACTGTTAACAATCTCAAAACTCTTCACCATCTAACATGATGTTGCCAATCAGCCCGGTGGTGAGAATGAATCTTTGTCTTCAAGATGTTGAGCTTCAATCTACAGTGAAGACTGCAGTCCTTTACAACCTCTAGCAAATGCCTCAGGTCCTCTTCAATTTCGGCAAGCAAGGTTGTGTCATCTGCATAATGCAGCTATTGAGGAGTCTTCCTCCAATCCTGATGCCACATTCCTCCTCACAGAGCCCAGCATTTTGGATGATCTGTTCCACATATAGATTGAAAAGATATGGAGATAGGGTGCGTCCCTGGTGTATACCTTCCTGACTTTGAACTATGCGGTGTTTCCATGCTCTGACAATTGCCTCCTGGTCCAAGTATAGGCTTTGCATAAGCACAATCAAGTTTTATGGGATTCCATTCTTTACAGAGTTAGCCACAGTTTGTTGTGATCTACCCAGTCAAATGTCTTTGCATAGTCAATGAAACACAGACAGATATTCCTCTGGTACTCTCTGTTATTGGCCAAAATCCATTTGACATTAATGATAATGTCTCTAGTACCATGGTCTCTTCTAACCCAGCCTGCACATCTGACAGTTTTCTGCTAATAAGCTGTTCCAGTCATTTTTGGATAATTTTCAACAGAATCTTGCCTGCATGTGGTATTAATGATATTGTCTGATAATTTCCAAACTCTGTTGAGTCATCTTTTTGGGAATGGGAACAAATATGAATCTCTTCTAGTCAGTTGGCTTAATGATTGTCCTCCAAATTTCAATTCCTCGGGCCTTGTTTTTTGCCAATTCCTTCAGAGTAGCTTAAAATTCCTCCTTCATGACCACAGGCTCTTGATCATACATTGTTTCATGAAATTCTCCTGTGTCAGATGATTCCTTTTGGTACAGTGACTTTGTATACTCCTTCCATCTTCTTCAATGCTTCCTGGATCATTTAATTTTTTGCCCAAAACATCCTTAAGTATTACAACTCAAGTCTTGAATTTGTTCTTCAGTTCCTTCAGATTAAGAACTGGCAAGCAAGCCTGACCATTTAATAAAATCTATCAGTGTTATTAAAAAGATCTTGGTATCACTCTGTTGTTGTGTACACTTGTGTTAGAAATGACTCACAGTTGACCCTCCAGGTTTTCAGAGTCAGTACATCACATGGGAGGAGAGTTTCCATAGTTCTCCCAAGGAACTGCTGATGGAGTCAAGCAACACGCCTTTAGGAGAGCAGTGCAGGTTTTTACCACTAGGTCACCAGAGATACTGGTAGGACTAGATTTATTATAAAATTACCTGTCAAAGACCATAACTAAGTATTAGTCCAAAGGGAGCTGTGCTGCTAACCCAAAGGTGGTAATCTGAATCATCAGTTCAACAGGATAAAAATGGGCAATATATTCCTGTGCAATTTACACCCTCAGAAACTTGCTACAGGGACAGCTATAAGTGGTTTCTGACTCGAAGATAATGAGTGAGTGATAAAATACTAAGGACTTGAGAGAGAGTGTTGTCTAATTCCGCAAATGTCCCTGGCTTACTACAACATTTAAGGAACTAAGTATTAACTTAATCACTTGTTATTCTGCTACTTATACAGCTCTTCCTTTCTTCCTACTAAGTTTCAACAGAGGAAACTGATATAAATAGAACAAAAAAATATAGTTAAAGATAATCAAAGCAAATAAAGGCTATACTTAGAAATTAACAGTGAAAGAGACAAAAATTATAGTCTGTTAATGATTTAGAACAACAATAGGTATTATAGTCCGCTATGAATTAGCACAGATATTAGAAAACAGTAATACAATAAAGTTTAAAATATTTTTTTAAATGTCTTAATTATTGTGATGACAAAATCAACTGGACTGCATGCAGCTTTAGTTCACCGTCTTCAGTTACCCAGCATTTTGAAGGATACTCAATACCAGAATAATGTGTGACTCTGCCACGAACTGAGCCTGGCTGCTCCCATGAATGTAACTCTACAAAACAAGAAAAGAGACAAAAATTGAAATGTAAGGAAAGGTATTGTATAGCATTATGTTATGAAAATCATGAAGATAAACAATGGCCAAATCTACTCATTAAGCTTTCATTTTATCCTTTAACTAAAATAATTACAATGCTATGCAAAATAACAGGTGATGATAGCTGACATTTCTGTTAACTATAGAAAGTCTCTTGTAATCAAAAGTAAACTTAATATTACCTGTTCAAGCATTTATCACAGACACAGAATACAATGATTATATCCACTAGTTAGCATGAAAATGGACTTAGCAAAAAGTATGAATCAGAGAAATAACTGTTTTGATATTTTAAAAATTCTTTGCCCTTTAAAATAAGCCAAAAATTATCTATCTAATATCCAATAATTCCATCCCTCGGAAACACAATTTTTCATACAGAGAGTTTGCTTTTTAAGTGTATTTATTTCACATAAACATTGAAAGGGATTTTTATTCAATGTATTATTATAATTGTGTTTATCCTGTGGAGAAACGTGTAGCTTTATATCCAGGATGAAATAAAGTAGATGATGGCCAATAAAGAAAACTGAAAACAAATCACCATATAGAATAATGTGTTTCTCTAAGAAAAACTATTCACTATTACATCTCTGTTCAATGCTCTTAAAACAGTTCCTATAAAGTTGGTTTTAATTTTTTTAACGAGGATTTTTTACTTAAAAAAATTGCTAACAAAATTGGTGCCTTTCATTACAAATAAATGTTCTATTTTACATCTCTTATGAAACATACTTTGTCTTTTGAGAGAATCAAAGTGGCTTATCCAATCTTTTTCTTTGTTGTTATTTCTGACAATGGCTAAACCATAATGGAATGAAACTATAAGAGTCTTGAAATTATACCTTTCTTAACTTAAATCTGGACAAATCCACAATCTCTCAGAAATTAAGTATTCTTTTATCTATAAAATTAGAAACTGAAGTATAACGTCTATGTCATAAAGGAGCTACCAAAGGCACACAGTTTGAACTCACTTGCCACTTTGTGGGAAAAGGAGGGGCAATCTCCTCTTGATTTACTGCCTCTGAAAAATCTGATGGAGGATCACCGCTGGATTCTTTCCAATTCCAGGACGCACAAACAACAACAACATGCTGTAAATCATTTTATCACCAGTCTTATATCAATATCTGTATGTAAAGGTCTTTTTTTTTTAATATCCTGCTCTAGTTTTGTTTCCATTTCAATGTCTGAGTTGTTTATGTGAAGGAGTGCTTACTTATATGTATACATATTATTTAAGTATAGCTTCAGCCAAATTAACTACCCTGTCATTTCTGGTTAATGCTGTTGAGGAATTATACCATCCGCCTCGCCTTTATCCCAGCCCTGTTGGCCTAGTTCTTAAAGAGAATACGTCTGTTCACCCCAGCGATGTGCCTTTCTAGCAGCTGGAAACTACCAGCAACTCTAGATGAGCATTCTCCTCCCATGTGATTTATAACCTTAGAAACTCCCTGAAGGGATAGTTCTGAGTCAGTTATGACTCAATGGCAATAAGTGTGTACGTGAATGATATAAAACAAGAGAGTTCAGGTAGCACAGTGCCATAGGGAATGGTGCTGCTGGTTTAAATCCTCCAGCAGCTCCCCAGGAGAAAGATAGCCAATCTCCTTTGGTGTAATTTCTAGAAACTCAAATGAGAAGAAACTGACGCAAAGACTTTCCTTTTCTTTAGTTAAATAGTTAAGACAGTAATTAATAACAGATACAACCGTAAAAGTACCAATAATAGCAATCATTTCTGACTATGTGTTTTGTTTAAGACATTAAGAGTTTTATATGCAATATCTCATTTTCTTGTAGCTTTACAATGTAGATATTTGAATTATTTTGTAAATAAGGTGAAGCTTAAAGCACTGATGACACTTGCCCACACTTTTATAGTCTATAAATGTAGATCTGGAATTTGAACATAGGTCATTGCAGGATAAGGAACTTCTCTTTATATATAGATTATATATACTAGATAGCTGTAGCCTACTGGGATAACTGGTCAGTTGTGACATCCGTCTAGGCCACCAGAGCTCTCTTTGTGTGTTTCTTGTTGTTGCTGTTGTGTACCGTAGAGTGGAAACTGACTCATAGCTGACCTTCTGGCGCGTTTTCAGAGGTTAATCAAACAGGAAGCACCTGTGGGATTCAAACCGCGTGCCTTCAGGATTGCAGCACAACAGGGTACCATATTAAAATAATCTTTTTTTTTAAATAAGTTATCACTTGTTCTACAATTTCTTTTACAGAATACTAATGTTCAAGGAAGGGTATTTTTGAACTGTTTAAACAAACTCATATTATTTAGTGCTAAAACTAAAATAAATATTTTAAAGTATCCTCTGACATTCTCACTGGAGGATACTACATTCCTGCTTTAATCAATTAACTGAAGTGTGAAGGAAGGATGAGGAAAGGAGTAAGTGAATGTTCTATTGAGGCAAAAGGTTACTATTTTTTCCTTACACAAAGTAAGATGAAATTCCACTCTGATAGTCTAATTAAGACTCCCCTATTTCTTAATTTTTATACATGTCTATTTCATTCCTTGGGGTCTTCTTTTTTTTTCATCAGCCTCATCAACTCAGGAGGCAATATTAGTTCCTGCTAGGCTGTTGCTATGCCCAATGAAAGATGTGAGACAGATAATAGTGAAGCCAAGTTCTTATGGATTTGCCTGGGGAAAAAAGAGCTATAAATAGGCATTATCTACATCCAGGTGACAAAAAATGCCACTGTGTTTGATTTCCCCAAAGAATGCATACATGTTGTGCTTGAAATTTCCGAGTACTTTATTAATTGGTTTAAATTTTTTTTAAAAAGATCACAACAGAAATACAAATAAAATTATCAGAGAGTAATAGATTATTTGCCACTGTGCCAACAACAGCTACCAATCTCTCGTTACTAAAATTTTAGGATGTCTTTTAGCCATAGTTCATCTGATCAAGGAGGCACATAAATCTAAAACTCTTATCTTCCCAGCCACACTCCAAACAAGGTTTCTTCAATTTTTATTATCTTATTTGAAGATCAAAGTTTGAAAGCTCAACCCAGATCAGTGATTCTCAAAAAAGAACTTTCAAATATGTGCTGCATGAAATACATCTGAGATAATTTTAAAGAAGCAGATCCTCAGATTCAGAATCTAAAGACTCTAGTACAACAGATGTGTGGTTAGAACCTTGCCTTGCGCCTGAGCTGCAAACCATGTCTATATACGTATCTTTTCTGAGGCAGCTGTATGAGAAGAGAAGAATTCTGTAAAAGTTATTAGAAATGAAATATTCAGGAAAATTATCTTACTAGTGAGGAGGCCTAGTGGGAAAATGGTTAAGAGTTGGAACCTATCAAGAGAACTCTACTTTTAGAGTTCATCTTATAGGATGGTTACAAGTGAATGGTACAATTGTCTTCTAAGAAAATAATTGGTATGTAAATGCAGCAATTACAGCTGGAATTATCTAGGTCTATGTTTAAAGTCACTACTGCCAACAAATTGGGCTTAAGAAATGGAAGAAGAAATGAGAATGAAGAGTATCAGGTAATAGGACTATGTGTCTATAGAACTGATATCACATGCAAGCAAGATTCTCAAGATTATACAAAAATAACTGGAACAGCACATCAACAGGGAGCTGCCTGAAGTGCAAGCTGCGTTTAGAAGAAGCCGTACCAAGAGCTATCTAACATTAGCTATAATATTTCTAGTACTACAGCCTCTTCTAAACCCAGCATTTAAATATCAATTCTTTTCTTAGAAGACAATTGCTGAAAAGTAATGATGTCTGTCTGGAGACTAACATGTGTCTGATCCAGGCCACAGTCTGCAACTACTTGCTATAGTTTAGAAAGCTGGACAATAACTAGAGATGATAGAAAGAGAAGTGATGCCTTTGAGCTGTGGTGCTGAAGAAGGGTATTGATTGAATGTACCGTGGACTGCTAGGAGAGCAAGTTTGTCCAAAAAAGGGTAAGAACATGTTGGCCCTTGGACGCAATAATTCTGAAGCTTCATTCAACATGCTTTAGACATGTTGCAAGGCAGGACCAGTCCTTGGAGAGAGACATTATGCTTTGGAGGATGGAGGGATAGCACAAGAGTTAGACTCTCGATAAAATGGATTGATTCAGTGACTGGTGTAATGGGAGTGGGTGTGTCAGAGACAGTAAGATTGGTACAAGATAGAGCAAGGTTTCGGGCTGTTGTACATCGGGTTGCTATGAGTCACAGGTGACTTGACAACACATATAGATTTCGCATTAGCACAATCAAGTGTTCTGGGATTCCCATTCTTCTCAGAGTGAGCCACAGTTTGTTATGATCCACACAGTCAAACGAAATTGTATAGTTCAGCTAAAATCTATCCAACATCAGCTACAATATCCCTAGTACCACGACCTCTTCTAAACCCAGCCTGGACTTCTGGCAGTTCTCTGCTGATGTGCTGTTCCAGTCATTTTTGGATAATCTTCAGGGTAATCTTGCTTGCATGTGAAATCAATAATAGTGTTCTATAGTTTCCACATTCTACTGGGTCACCCTTCTTTGGGATGGGAACAAATATAGATCTCTTCCAGTCAGTTGGCTAAATGGTTGTTCTCTAAATTTCTTGGCACAACTTGGTGAGAACGTCCAGGGCAGCATCTATTAGCTGAAATATGTCAATTATTAATATTGACAATAAAAATGAGACATTGCTGTTGCTGTTGTTATGAACTGTCAAGGCATAACCAATTGATACCTGTCCCTCCACTGGGTTTTTAGAGGCAATAACTTACACAGCAGGAGATGGTTCAGCTTTCGCCTGTGGATTCAAACCACACGCCTTTGGGTTGGCAGTGCAGATCCTTGCCATTAGGTTACAAAGTGAATTTCTTCCAAGCACAACGCAAAAGTTGAAAAGATTGTCTGGCTCAATGTCTAAACACTTCCTTAGACTACTTAGTATTCTGTT